ATATATATATATATATATATATATATATATATATATATATACGTGTAAAGGTAAAATGCATATACACACATGTATAATTTAATTTGGACAGTTTGTCAAGACACCATGTTACAACAGAATCAGAATTCAACATCTATTTTTTGGTATGTGATACAAGCCTTTGTCAGTTTCTTTAGCACTGTAAGTAAAACTGTATCATTTTGATTAATATTGTTAGAAAAACTGTGTAGCATAATTGACTTTCTGACTGCTCATGGTTTGAGTCATTTTATGATCAGTACTTACTATATTTATGTTCATTAGTAATACAAACACATTAACAACCATTCATATGTGAATAAGTAATAGCTACTTTGCAGTGTCCTTAGCTAAAGTCTGTGGTTATGATTTAAAATGTATAAACTTTCGGTGCTGAATGTAGCAATTTACAGTTTAACAAAAGCACAAGTATAACAAGAGAAAAGGACATTTTTGTCTGTCACAGCACATTAAAAACATTTTAAACATTGTTGATGAAACCTAAGAAACGTGAAGAAATGGCATTACTGATACGAGATTCATTGCATTTTCAGTGATGAATTAATGTATTGTTTTGATTTAAGTAACTTCTGTGTGCTCTACTTCAGTAATTGAATATTGGACTTGAACCAACACAACAAATTTGCTCTGAAATTCTTTGACTGACATACTTCTGCAAATTATTCAGATTAAATTGTGTATTAACTTGTTAACATAGGAACATTTCTGTGATGTGTTGACATGTTTTTTCTGTTAAATGTTTGTTAAGGTTATTTGTATAAATGATTTTTAGTTCATAATCTGAATGGCGACTTGAGCCTTTTAGCTCAGCAGATAATTGGATTCAGAACATTTGTGTAGGTAAAGGTTTCTGGATTTAATTTCCCATCACAGCAGATTTCTTAACATCATAATTCTAAATATTGATAATCAAGTAGTGTTTGTCCTAACCTAATCCTGAGGATCATCTGAGCTTAGTGTTCAATATTTATATTATTGGGTTAACTTTGTATGCATGGGTGGGAGTTAAAGCAAGCATGTCATGACCTTCTACAGAATATCATTCAACAGGGTTTTATGTATTTGATGCCAGAGTTATCAACTATTAATTTTACTCATTGTTGCTGATCTAGCAAAATTTGTGGTAGAGGAGAGTAAACATAAGATATGATATATAGAGACACATGGGGGAAAAAACTGTAGGTTTGCATTTTGGATGTGCTAGAGGTTATGCAAATGAAATATGCAAACTGTACAATGGACAACAGTGTTTTTATTCTTCATGTAAACCTTACCTTGCATTCTGACTTGTCAGTGTCTGAGTCTAATTGTCATCATCAATTCACAGACGTATCTTGAGCACAAATACACTTGTAACACATCTGATTTTTTGTGTACAAAAGACTTGTACATTTGACTAAAAACTGACCATATTTTTTATAAATACATTTGGTAAATTTGGAATTATATTCAGTATTCCTTCTTCAATATGAGGTTTGTTCATTGGACTGACCCAATGGACATTCGAGTTGTGATATGGGCATTGTATTGCCAAATGATGTTTATATGTGTTTGCATTTGAAGATATTTGAAGTGTGATGCGGACCTCATGTTACCAGTTGATATTATTTTTGGCTTAAGGTTATCTGGATTGTTGGACTGAGATAAAATGTTGATGTCAAATTGAATGCTATGACTTTGAGTACAGCTGGAGTGTGATGTGATCCAGAGTTGTCAGGTTGCGTATTTTCTGCTTGATGATAAATAGAGTATCATGTGCGTCCAGTATTGCCAAATGATGATTTATTGTTACTTATGTATTTTTAACTTGAGGATAACATTTGTGTAGTTTGACAAACCTGCCTTCTTTTTGTCAATTATTAAACAAATATAAACATGTCCTACCATATTATAGACAGTTATAGTGTATCTATACTGTATAACACACGGTGATGAACAGAAAAAATAACCATAGCATATTACTCAACATTTTGATAGCCATAATATTTTTCTTATGTTATGTTTCCTTAAAAAAGAAATTTCAAATCAAACTAAATTTGAATTTAAAAATGTAAATGTAGCAATTTGTAATGTTCCCTTTGGATTGACAAGACTTACCTTTTGTTTTCAGGTACTGGAAATAACTTTCCTGACACATACAATCCTGAGGCTGTAGAGGCATGTTGGTTTAAGTGGTGGGAGAAATGTAAATTTTTCACTCCAGAATTTGTTTTGTCAAATAAGGTACATTTGTTTTAGTGTATAAACATTATTAGGATTTGATTTTTTGTATGTTAAATATTTTTATAGTTTTTAACAGTGGTTTTAGTTTAATATTTGGACACTTGATGTGATATATACAATTAATAGTTTCTGTGTTGAATGTTCATCTTTTAGTGAAAAATTATTCAACTTTTAGTGAAAAAACCACAGTAAACGGAACAAACTGTCAGAAGTCTGATATCAGACTTTTGACATTTTGTTCCATTTACTGGTTTCTGCAGACATACCGCTGTACCATTGGGGTAGAAATATATTCCTTAATGTCTGATATCAGACTTTTGACATTTTGTTCCATTTACTGTGGTTTTTTCACTAATTGTTGTGCAAGATATTGTGTTATTATTATTAGTGTAACCCTTAGTTAAACAAAACATAAGAATATATCTGGTGGATAAAAGGCTAACGTTAGCTTAATTTAACAATTTTCTTGTGGGACTTACTTTGGCAAAAGAAACATTTTTGTTAATGAGAAGATATAAATCAAAAGGCTCATCTGGTCTTTAAAACTTTTTGTATAAAAAAATAACAATACTTTCCTATCAGAAACAAATCTGCAATATGAATTATATTCATATAGCAGATTTGTTATATGAATCTAATTCATATAGCAGTTTTGTATCTGATATATGAATTAGATTCAACTAAGCAGTAACACTGCAAAACAGTATAAAACACAGCAAACAGTACAACTGAAAAATGAGTGCTACTCAAATAAATATTTAAGCACATATTGTTTAATAATAGTGTTATTAATGCAAGTACAATTAAAAACCATTATGATTCACATATGAATATTCTCTTGTTTCTTATTGCAAAATTCCACTGACCTGCAGTTGAGAAACAATGACCTTAGATCACTTTTATATCTTTCATAGCCTAGTCAGTTTGATAAGTCCTGATATTGGGTGAACAGCTTTATCAATACTGGTTATGGCAGATGTATTATGGTTGACATGTTATAACATAGTAATATTTATTTTCACTTGTAAGTTTTTAAAATTACTCTAGCGTATAAACACCAAATATTCTTCTATAGTATGTATTTGATCTCTAAAATTTTAAAAACTGATATGTTCTGATTCTGGAACTAGATAAATCCTGAGTAAATTGGAATGGACGGCAACTGCTCATCATAAAAAACATAAGTTTAGAGGATGACTTTTGAAACATTATCCTCTACACTTGTGTTTTTTTACAACAGGCAGTTGCCATCCCTTCCAGTTTACTCATCTTGACTACTCTACCTAAACAATCTATCAAATAATTGGTAAATCCTTTTGAGATCATGTGCATTATTCAGACTGAGGTGTTTTTCAGCACACTGTGATGACCATAAAAATAATTATGGTAAAAATAGGAAACATAATAACAGTTGTTTTCTTGCATGCCATTCTGAGGCAGAAAACCTGTTATGTAACACTATTACAAAAGATTAAATTTTTGTAACAAAAGTATGAGAAATTAACACTTTCTGTTATATGCTAAGTAAAATTGTTTTGAAAAGTAGCATTTCATAATCAGCAGTATTATCCCTGCTTGAATAAATGCAGTAATTATGCAAGAAGAAAATTATGAAATTTCTTCATGTATAATATTTTACACAATATTGGCTCAGTTTTGGTTTAAATTTTGGTGCATTTTATTTTTAGATTAATTGCAAAACACAAGAAAAAAAAAACTATTTTCAAAACTAGTTTCATAGTGGGGCAAAAAAAGATCTAAATGATTAATAAGTGTGACTGTGTTTTGTGCTTTTATATTAATTACTAATGTGGCACAGGTTTGGCTAATTTATAGTGATGCGTGGCTAGAAAAAAACAGCACAGTTAGAGGTAATGTTTAACAAGCTTTCCTATATACATGGTTTTGATGGACACAATCAATGCTATCATTTGGTTCTAAGATTTGAGTCTTCTAAAATTAAAATTAAGAATAAAGTTTTATTTAAGTACAAGTTTTTAGTTAAAAAGTTTTATTGGGAATTTTAAGGCTTTTTGACTGGAAACAAATTACTCCAATGTTAATTAGAAGGTAAATTAATAAAAATATAAGGCAGTTGTTGAATTTGGGACTTGTGCACTGTATTATACATTTCTTTTGTGGATTTTTCAGTTTTATTAAGATTTTAGTGAGGAGTTTTATGTTGTTTTTTTTTGCCAGTTGCTTAAATGTTCTTGTGTTTAAAAGCTTTCTGTCATTGTTTTTCAGAGTTAAATTATATTGCTCTACATATTCTATATTTCTTTAAGTTTTGGGTATTTTGAATTGTGTAAATTGCTCAAATGTCAACAGACTTGTGGGTTTTAAATATTCATCATAATACAAAATTAGTTTATTTACATTAAGAATCAAGCCAAACTAAGTTTTATATACCCTTGAAGCAGAAGACGTGTTCTTTGACAGGTACAGTTCTATTTATCATTAATATATTTTTATTATGTAACAATTTTCAAATAGCAAGTTCTTATTGGATTGTCACATTGTAACATGGTGAAGAGTGCAGGATCTTATTTTCTCATGGCTTCATTCACCAGAATCAGTATTTTCCTTTACTGTTAACACAGATATATGTTTTTTTCTATAAATTTTACCCCATTATTTTATCAAAAATAACTAGTTAAAATTTACAGTCACTCTCAATTATGTGATAATATGCTTTTTTTTCCACAGTATTGTATATGGTTTTAACTAAACTGATCAAAATAGTATTTGACATGATTGTTATAATTATTATTATTTTTCCTTCAATATAACTCTGATTATTCTAAGTTTGAAAGCACACCAATAAGCCAGTTTGTTTCATAGCATAATTTGTAAAACAATATTAGCATTCTCTTTAAATTGCACTCTTTGAGTAAGTTAAATTCTTATTGTTGACATATACAAGTGTAAACTCTTATAATATTATAGCCAACCTTTCTCTTTGTGTTAAACCTTGCTATTTGTGTGTAATGAATATACCAAGTTAGTTGATTAAATGTCAACATGAACTTCATTGATGCTCTTGGAAATATGGAACTCAGGTTGTTCAAAAAAATTCAGTAAACCTTTACATTTTCTTAGGGTTGGTAATGTTTATGTGCATGTTCTTATCATATGGTCTTCAGTCATGTGTAAGGATCAGACTTTTCATCATCTGTAATGACTTTATTTGTATTAGGAATGTGACATGGTAGCTGCTGAGTTTTCAATAACAAATTGAATTATTGGAAAATGAAAGGTTTTTTTTATATGAAGCACAAATTGTTTTTACTATATTTTATTGATATGTAATTATAGTGGAAAATAATCTTGGTTTTATAGTTATCTAAGTAATTAGTGGTGAGAAATAAAACAGTTGACTAACAATGTATTCTAACAAAATTTACATTGTATCATTTTAGTTGGATAATCAGACTGTAAGAGGAGATGAAAAAAAAAGGTTTACAATGGTGATACCTCCTCCAAATGTTACAGGATCCCTTCATCTTGGTCATGCTTTGACAGTTGCTATTCAGGATTCTATAGTTCGTTGGTGAGTGTGGCTTAGTATGTTTGAGATATTTTTTAATGTTTGTTGTAATGTTCTTTGAAAAATAAAGAGACTATACACATCAATTTCTAGATCCAAAATTACCATTCTTCAATGTACCATTTGCAACAGTTAATAATATTTTGTACAAATAGAAACAATAAATCATCTTCACTTACACAAATGTTATGCATAATTGGTTCTAATGGAAAGTAGGAGAGAAGCTATGGTATCCTTGATAGGCCATTGATGTAGATAAAATTGAGCAGCTCTTTTCAAATTTCTAGAGATTTGTTAAGTATTATTAATGTTTTGGTTCATTTTCAGGCTGTTAAAAATATTTTTTAATTCTGTTTGTACTCTGGTCTCTGGGATAAGTGAAATTCAGGAAGTACTTTCCCCACTGAAGTCAGTATAGATATGAGTTTATTTTTACAGTTTATAATTTGTATAAATTAAATAAATTGTGTATTAAATTAAAGTATGTAAAACCTGATTTTTTTGTTTATTAGTGTTTTTATACTTTATATATCAATCCAATTTTAACTTGTTTTGTAATCATTAAAACATTTGTTTTATGATTTCTTTTTATATGTTTTTTTTTGTGCCCACTGTAGAGTTTATGTAACCTGATCAATTATGCAGATCCTGTAAAATTGATAATGAACTACCATCAAAGATTGTTTCACAGCATATTATAGACCACCTAGCTTGCAAATGCTAAGTATTCTAACCTGACTTCTGGAAGTGTAAAAATATATTTTTCAATTTTTTGCTTTCGAAAGGCACCAACAAGTAACATCAGAAATCACAACATAAAGCAGCTGGAGCTAACTACAAAGATAATGTTGGCAAGAAACAAGAAAAGAGTGACAATCACCAAGGATGCTGCTACCAGAAGAAACAGAATAGAGACAACATAAGAAGGAAATGCTGTTTCCATGATTAAACAGTGCATGACTTATGGTCAGCTCAAGTTGGCAAAGTGCCAGTGTTGATTAGAGCAGGAGATAAACATCGACAGGTGCCAACAAATCACAACATGCCAGTAGGTGAAGGCCATGTCAGGGACAAGAAAGTGAAGGTCCTATGAGGTGCAGTAGTGCAACAGTGAGAATCAGTTTTGTATCTGATGACAGGCAAGGTACATTTTTGTGTGCTGATTGATGGGACAATGAGAAAGTTTTTCAAACTAAGAACAAGGTGTACTTCCATATTACATGGAAGACCATGAGGTCATGTGTATGAAGGCAACTATCAATGACTTGGTGACTGTCAGTAGAAGTTTGGAGGAACCAGACAGAAAAATACTGAAGCATCTGCAGTCACAACTAGAGCTAAAGAAAAAACAAATAAGCAAGACATCAAGCCCCTTCAAGTCTCAAAAAAGTGATATCCCGATTGTAGATCTACAGGGACTGAGGGAAGCACAGAAGAAAGACCCTTCACTGCAGAAACTTTGGGACAGTGTCAGGGAGAAAGTGGAGCACAAGACCAAAGGAAAAGGGACTTACAGAATAGAGGACCAAAAGGGAGTACTGTACCGGATCTCTCAAGGTATTTTTATTGGGGAAATTAAACAGATCATAGTACCAACAGAATACTGGACTCAACTGATGAAGTTGGCTCATGAGTCGATTGTGGGAGGACACCTTGGAGCAAAAGAAACTGTAGACAGAATCACCAGCAACTTTCCTTGGCCGTGGGTCATCGGGGATGTGACCAGATCCTGCAGGTCATATGACATCTGCCAAAGGACATTACCTAGAGGGAAAGTAGCCAAGGTACCAGAAAGTGAGATGCCTCTCATAGAAGAGCCATTCAGCAGAGTAGCTGTGGACTTGATCATACCACTAGGACCTGTATCTGACAAGGGTAACCAGTATGTGCTGACTGTAGTCAGCTATGCAACACATTACCCAGAAGCCATAACATTGCTGAAGATAGAGACATAGAGAGTAGCAGCAGCCCCCCTGGAAGTGTTTTATGGAGTAGGCGTTCCAAAAGAAGTCTTGAGTGACAGATGGATCCAGTTTACTTCAGAACTGATCCAGGAGGTGTGCAGACTCATCATCACGAGGCAACTCTTTACCACCTTGTACAAGCCTAGATGTAATGGACTTTGTAAGAGAGTTAATGGAGTCTTAAAGAGCATGCTGAAGAAGATGTGAAAGGAGAGACCATGTGATTGGGACAGGTACCTGCAGGCAGTATTATTTGCCACAAACATAGAAGTCCCACAAACAGTACAGGTTTTTCACTCTTCGAGTTGTTTTATGGAAGAACACTATGAGATCCGATGCAGGTATTGAAAGAGCTGTGGACAGGAGAAAGTGAAGAATGTGTTAGACCTCAGAAACCAACTGGAGGAGACATGTCAACTCGCTGGAGAGAGCTTGTATTCATCTCAAGGCAGTCAGAAGCTCTTCTATGACAAGATGGCCAAGGATCAACATTTCAAGGTTGGACAGAAGGTTTTGGTTCTGTTACCTATAGACAACAACAAATTCACGATGCATTGGAAAGGACCTTTTGAAGTGCAAGAAGTTCTCAACAGAATGGACTATAAGGTGAAAGTGGATGGGAAGACCGAGATCTACCATGCCAGTCTGTTGAAGAGGTGCTTTGAGAGGGAAGAAGAACTAATGGGTGCAGCTATTAAGGTGCAGATGAATGTGGCAGGTGTTGCTGTCATAGACACAGAGCCAGAAGACAGTGACTTTGTCATAGAAGATGAAGACTTACTAGACCTAAGAACACTGGGTGGAGATGAGACATACAAAGATGTCAACATCTACTGTGCCAGTATGCAGATGTCTTCACAGATAGACCAGGCAAGACAGATCTTGTGCAACTCAAGATAGAGACTACATTCAGGGATCCAGTCAAGGTGAAACCCTGTCAGATGCCTTATGTGACGAGAGACCTGATAAAGCAGGAAGTTGAGGCAATGTCAGAAGCTGGAATAATCGAGCCTTTGAATTCAGCCTACTGTTCACCAGTGGTAATCATGAAGAAGAGGGATGAATCAAACTGCTTCTGCAACCTATGAGCAACCCAGAGGCTATCGAATATCAATCTCAGTAAAGGTTATTGGCAGATCCCAATGGAGATAGGATCTAAAGAGAAGGCATCTTTGTGACATCAGATGGATGTTATTAGTTTAAGAGAATGCTGTTTGAGCTCATCAACTCAGCAGCAACATTCCACTGCATGATGAGGAAGATGTAGCACAACACCACCAACATCGAGCATTATGTGGACAACATTCTGATACACACACAGCCAGATGGGAATACCACATAAAGAAACTTATAGAGCAAAAAGGTTTTCTATAAATTGACGTTTCTAAGTTACCTTCTGTTTCTTTCCTAACTAATACGTCTAAGAAATTAATGCTATTATTTTCTTCAATTTCACGCGTGAATTGAATTGCTGGTTCTTTACTATTTAAATAACTAAAAAATTCCGACTTCTGTTTAAACAAGATTAAGCAACAGATATTGAGGATTATGATACAACAAAAAAAGAAGTTTCATAGCAGACCTAGTGTACAAAGTGTATCAATTACATTTGGTGGCAGCAAAAAGAAAATGGACAAAACTGGTTAGAATGTGAAAATTTCTATTGGATTCATATGAAGAAATACATCAATAAATATAAGATAAAATTAGATCATAAATTTAATAAGTAATAGAAAAAGAATATCAAAGTAAGTTAAGAACATCACCAGAAAAATATAAGAATATTTTAGAGAATCCGAAAATAGTTAATAATTCGAATAAAACATTGAATACTAAACAACAGGAAGAGTTAGAAAAAGACTTGGGTTTTTGCACATAAGTTAATGAATTACATGTTAATGACATGGCAACAGCAAACTACAATAATCCTCAATATCTGTTGCTTAATCTTGTTTAAACAGAAGTCAATTTTCTTTTCTTTCATGTTACTTTTTACTTGTATAAACTTCGGATTGATGCTATTTCTTTTGCATTTCAATTAGAAATTTAATTGAAGTATCTTCCTTTTCAACTTACTCCTCTGTCTTACAAATGTTTTCGTTGTAGTTTTTTTCCATATTCCTTTCCTCAAAGACAGGTGGTATTCCAGGTCTACTATAAGATTTCTTTTTGGTATATTGTATTCTACTATGTCTGTTGATTGAACTTGTTTGAACAGTTGCTTTCTTATCTTCCTTGATTTTACTTTTCAACTCCTATGTCTTGTAAATATTTTTGCTGTAAATCTCGTTGTTAGACTTATAAATATGCACTACCGGCACTGCATATTGCATATGCTAAATGTATTTGTTTTTCCAGCATTTTATCTTCATAATTTCTGGAAAATATATTTTGTTAGTAAACCAGATTAGTTAGTAACATATATAAATCATGTTATACACAGCATATTATAAAAATATGTATTAAAATCAAATTTCATTATGAATTGTAATTTGAACAAAAATACAATTACTTAAGCTTTAGAATAGCCAAAAACGTATTGTGAATTGAGTTTGATGTACTGTATCTGACACTAGGAATGGACAATATATTACCGTTGAATTGATAGTTGTTGTTTTCTTGTTATGATAATACAGGAACAGAATGCAAGGTAAAGTGGTTTTATGGGTTCCTGGCTGTGATCATGCTGGAATTGCCACTCAAGTAATGGTGGAGAAAAGGTTGTGGAAGGAAAAGAAAAAATCACGACATGAAATTGGTCGAGAACAATTTATAAAAGATGTTTTTCATTGGAAAAATGAGTATGTTTTTGTATTTTCTGTTCTCAGCATATGAGGTATGTATACAGATAAATGTAAAGTACATGTTTGAGTTTAAGATTTAATCACAACTGAATCTTGTGATTTTAGCATTTGACTGATGATCAGTCTTCTAAGAAATATTTGATCCTTTATTTTTTCTATGAAAGTAAAGGTCATTTTTATACATGAAAATGTAACAAAATACACAAATTTCAATGTGTGGATACAAATAACAAAACACTACAATACTCACTCTTCTGTTTTTTTCTTCTTTATTAATTTCTTCTACCAGTTTTGTGATTTCAAAGGTTACTCTCCAGAATGTACTTTTACAGAGAATCTATAATAAAAGTATTCAAATACCACTTTTCAACTAAATATAAATAACCAATATCCAATACTTTTTTTTTTCAAAATGTATAAACATAAAATACAATCCTTGTGTAAATTAAGCATATTGAAATATATTTACTAATCATATGTTTTTACATGTTCATGTATAAAAGAATACCAGGGTCCCTCTTGAACGGTTGTGTTATGTTTTGGATTTTCAGACTGACGTGATGTTCTCTGGTGATAAATAACTTATAAAAAGCACTTTAAAACATACTTGAATGTCAATTATTCTGTGATGATTCAGAAGCAAAGACAATCAAATTATTTTGAAGCTTGTGGTCCAATACAACAATTTCCATACTTATGAAGTTTTCACATCTGTAAGTGGTGAAATCATAGGCCAAACCAAAACTGGTTACTGTCTGTATTGAATATTGTATTTGTGTACTGTGCCCTATTGTGCATATACCTGCATGCATCAAGAAGGACCAACTGGAAATATTGTAATATGGAGACAGGCTTAGTGAAAATAACAGATATTGCTGGAGGCATTTTAAACCAACAGAATTACATGTAACTTGTCTTACAGGTATAGTATAAGGCACATTGTTTGCAACAGTGACAGAAAAATAATTAGGTTACAGTATGGACTGTAATTCAAAGTCTTGTGGTTACCCAAGAGATGCAGCCTTATTTATTGATCAGGCTACAAAGTGAGATTTGAAGGTAAGATGGTGAACTGCATCTAAAATGATACATCAAATTTAGATAACCAGAAATGGCTAATAATGTAAATTTTTTGGAGTGACTGGAGAAAGAGAAATCCTTGGGCCACCCAGGGAAAAGTGTCTGTTCACCAAGTAAAGAAATGGGACTGTGGGAACCCTGTATATGTTATTTTATTTTAAAGCTATGAATCAAACTTAGATTTGTGTTAGATGTGGAGTAATCATTATCTCAAATATGGATGAATAACTTAATTTCCTGTCACAGGCTGGACTCCAGATCCCTTGCCCTTGGGGAGTGAAGGTGGGGGGCAGTGAACTCTTGTTGACTCTTCTTAGTGATGTAAAAAAAATCATATGACTTTTTATAATTGATAATATAATTTTTTTAAAGTGCTAGGGAGAATGAACTTGGGTGAGCCAGAGTGAAACATGGGGGTGCATAATCCCCCTCCCCCCCACACACATAAAATTTATGAAAGGTATTATTTGGTTTTTTGGACGATTGGGAATTGATAGAATACTGAGTTTGCTCCCACTAAGACTTCTTTTATAAATGTAAATACTTTAATTCTGCATTATTGAAACACAAAGCATTCATCAGATTTATAAACATTATACATTTAAACTGTTTTTTGTTGATGTTTAGATTCAAAATGACACATCAACTGTAATTAATAACTAAAACAGTTGAGGGGTGGCTAGAATGCCAAAAGATATGAAAAGTCAGGAAGTTTCCAACCAAGTTTGGGGTGAACTAACATAATGATGCTAAAGTTAACTTAATGAATATTTTAGCTTACATTAAGACTTTATTAAGTTAGTTACTTGAGTTTTTTGAAGCTCTCATAAACCTGATTTTTTTTTGTATGTTGCTGTAGTGATTAAAGAAATATGCAGTCTCGGCAAATATTCATATTTTCTGTTCAACTTGTCATGCTGGTGAAGAAAGGAGGCTAATCAGTAGATTTTACATATTTTTTCTTCAAATTAGATTTATTTTGATATCATCGTGCTTATCATTCTTTTTATATTGATGGTTATATTTTATCACAAGGAAAGAGGCAGAGATTTATCACCAATTGAAGATGTTGGGATCATCACTTGATTTTAACCGAACATCATTCACAATGGATAAGGTTAGTAAGCTATTACAGTGAATGAATTTAAATATCATTGGTTGTGAATTCCTATTATTTATTGCAGATTTCTTCACTAAGCACAGTATGATTGAACTCCCTGGATTTGCATGAAAAACATGTGCATTTATTTTGCTGTCGTTATTGTAGTTGTACCATGTTTATCCCAAATCTACATTGTTTTGTGGTTTAATGAAATTCATCTTTCAAACAGTTTTACATAAATTAATATATCATTGAGTAAATAACTTGTATCTAAGTATATTAGCTGTATCAAAAACTAAGAATAATAGATGTATATTTAACATTGAAGAAAAAAATTGTTTTGTCTCTGTGTATTTCAAAAGTAACATTACACATTTGCAGTTGTTTTAGAATTTTGCAACATCCTCCACAAACTCTCTAAGACTCATTCTGAAAGAGAGAAATATTTATGAAGCAGACATAAAGCTTTTGTCAAAATTATGAAACAATTGTAGTTTTTGAAAATAACTCTTATAGAGCCTTCTTTATATCATATGACTAAATTATCTTGTTCTCTATAATGGTTTGGCTCCCACACACATTATATTCTACTGTATTTAAGTTGTACAGCTGTGAAGAGAATTTGTGAGTTTTGATTTCAGCCAACTGAAAATTGAGTGTGGTTTATTAACTTACTGAAAAAAATTATTTTATTGCCTTACAAATAATATTTTCTGTGGTTTTATATACTTTTTTTTATGCCCCCACTGCTTCATGAAACAGAGTGAGGCATATTATTTAATCAAGGTCAATCAAACTGGGGATGGGGGTCTTAAACATAAAGCATAATGTTAGTAGGGGCTTAGGTGTTTAGTAAACACAGGTTACACTCATTTTACTTGATTTTGACTTTTGGATTTTTTTTTAAACTGCAGTTTATTAAGATGGTTGGTTTATTTTGCTTTCTCCATTGTGTTTCACAGATAAAGTACCAAAGAAAGTTTATCTCATTTACTGGAAACTGTATATTGATTGCTGCTTTGTTATTGTTCATTTTTGCCTGATATGAGCAGTTATGTACAGAAACCTGTTTTTGCTACATTTCATTCTGCAAATATTATTATTTTATAAAACTAAACAAGTAAATTTACAATGAGTGCACTTAATCCCATGTGCACAGATGGTGGTCAAAGTGCACCTGCCATGATCTTTTATAGAGTGCCATTCAACATGGTATTATGTCTTTTATGTTAGTTATCAGCTACATTGCTGATTTAGTGACAGTGTATGGTAGAGGAGAGTAAATACAATATACAGGGATATGGGAAAAAACTAGTCATGCATTTTGGAGGTTATGCAATATGCAAACTGTACAATGAACTCGGGTATTATTATTGTTTGCATGAACATCACCACGCACGCCAACTTGTCAGAATCTGGGTCAGTCTGAGTTTGTCAATTCACAGACATATCTTGCGTACAAATACTTTTGTAAAACATCTGATTTTTTTGTGTACAACAGATGTATACATTTTACTAAAATCTTGCCACATTTCATGTAGATATGCATGGTAGATTCAGTACAGTGACAGTTCACTGGACCAACCTCATGTACATTCAGTTACAATGTCTTTCATGTAGCACACCTTCAAAATCTGACCATTGCTTTCTAGTGTGGTATTTTCAGGTCAGTCTGATCTCCTTTAGATTTACAAGGTAGATCTGAAAAAAACAAAACAAAAAGAAAACAGGAGACTTGAAAATATATTTATTACTAAGTAATTCTAAACTTTATTTTTTTAGCCTGATTTTGTACGAAATAAAGAGAGTGGACACAAATGTACAGATATACAGGAAACAATGTATCTTCAAGTGCACAGTGTGTGTGTTTATTTCAGCATGGAAGACGGTTACTTTTACTGGAGAATTAGATCTCTGATTTCAAGTTTCTATAAAGAACTGTAGTGGATGAAAACTTTTACCAGACTGTTAAAACATCTGGTTAAATTATTGAAACTTAAACGTCTTGCTGTGCCAAAGTGACTATTGCCATCCACTTGACAACAGTGAAAGTAACTTAATGACTTTCTTGATGTGAAGATTGAACACGTGTATCTGATTAGTGAACAAGTTTTGAACATTTTTATATTAAAATAAGAATGTAAAAAATTCATTGTATGCCTGCATACCATATTAGGAGCTGAGGAAATGATACAATTTTGAATCGGTTATTATATTTGAAAACATTGAAGTACACTTAACAAATTGGACAAACATTTAGAAACTTATAGCAATAAAAGAAAAGGTTAAAAGTAGAAAAAATAACTTTTCTAAGTAACTTCATCATTTATGCATATAATTCTCTTAACCCTCTTTATTGTTATGTTTCAGATACAACCATTAAGAGTGTGTGAAACAAGTTAAAAATTAACTGTGTTTTGCAGAAAAATTCTAATGCTGTCAATGAAGCTTTTATATGTATGTTTGAAGAAGGAATGATTTATCGTCGGGAACACTTAGTAAACTGGTGTTGCTCATTACAGTCAGCTATCTCTGACATTGAGGTATGAGTTTCTGTACTTTGTTTATTATTTTTGATAAAGTTGGACAACAAGATTTCTCTTAGGCAAATTATTTATCTTAACCAACTATTCAATGTTGTAAAAAGCTGCTAAACTTAAAAAACACCATCCAATATTTGCCAATTTTTTTTTCACCTGTCATAATCAGTTGCAGAAAATTTGTGGTAATGGATATCTATAAATGATTGTTAAGTTATATAAAAATTTAACATGTAAAGTAATTTCAAAACTTAGTTGAACCTTTAAATGTTCACTTAAATCAGTTTTCTAAGTTTGAAGGTTTTAATTTTAATTTAGTTTTTTATTTTGATGTTTTTCATTCATTTTGTTGTGTATTTGGTCCTTTGTTTTTACCCCTTTTTGGATGTGTAGACATGATCATATCAAGTATCTTTCGTTAAAATTTTAAGTTGCACATTCATAATTTTCTTGGATATTTAACTGTACAGCTGTATCTTTACAAGTGTGTAGAACCACTCAACTGGATCATTTGTAAATATGTTGGCTGTTTATGTTTAGAACAGTAAACAGAAAAGTTGAATTATTAACTTGCTTATTCATGACATTAGTAAATATTTAAACTTTGTAAACTATGTGAGAGAAAATATAGAACACCTCAAACCATTTTTAAAAATTGCAGTTAATTGCTGGACAGACTGGTAGTTTTAATAACAGAAAAATTTTTTCAGATTTTTTAAAATCAAAGTTATTATTTTTCCTGTACATGTATGAGTACAGTAGGAAGAAAAAGGATTTGCTTGTTTTATTAAAAACTATTTTAATTTGTCATTTTTTTACTAGACTGGCATGAAGTACTTACAGACTAGAAGTAGCATAACTGAAATTTGTCACTATTGTAATCGTTTTAAATAGGTGCAAAGTTATCTGCTTAGAGCAGGAGTTGAACCCAAGAACTCTGACTTACGAAAGTGTTCTGAGGTTGATGCTTTACCAACTCTGCTACTGGGTTTAAGTTCTAGGCACAGAACTCTGACTTACGAAAGTGTTCTGAGGTTGATGCTTTACCAACTCTGCTACTGGGTTTAAGTTCTAGGCACAGAACTCTCCATAGAATTCATTACATAATAATCTTCCTACTCCTAAATTTAAAGGGTTGTCTTGTCCAAACCAGTCCTCATCATCAGTGTTGATGCAATTAATTAACTTGATTCACCACCATGCAAATATGGATGTGTTTGTGTTAATCTGGCCATATCACAGTATATGTGTGCATCTTTTTGTATTTTCTTTATGTTGACTTACAAATTTTAATTAATTTCATAACACATTAGAAACTTCACAGAAGACTTAGTTTTGTGATAATGACCTGAGTTTTAAGGTGTGAAATACCTATCCCCTGTTGGAACACAATTGTTCTTCAGTCAAATCATTATTGTTTAGTTTCTTTTATTAGTCTCTTTATCATTTATAGAGTTAGTGGTACTGAAAATAGTATTGTACTCTAGTAATATTGGGGAACCTTATAAACATGTGTACTGACAATGAATTCTAATGATAAGTCTATTGGGGAACATTATAAATATGTGTAATGACAATGAATTATAATGATAAGTCTATTTTATATTTTTGAAACTTAGTTTTTTGTTCTTTATGAAGTTATCACACTGTATGTTGAAGACAACCAACAAGTTTTTTTTGTGTTTTAACCATCATTTTCATACTAATCCTCCAACAGTAAATGAAGAAATGGATTTCTGAGTTTACAGGGTACCTGCATCACATACCACAACACCTGTATACAATAACAAACTATTAGCTTTTCCTACTATATATCCTTGACCTCACCTCACTCCTTATATATTCAAATACTGTTATACCTGCCTCTGTACTTGGGAAATTAACTAAAAACACAAAATATCTAAACATCCTTAACAATAAAAGAAATTAAATTACACAATTAAAGATTGGTACATTATAATAAGCTGGTGTTGACAGTAATTTACATAATTATTTTGATATTACAATAACTCAGTTCGCTAATTACAAACATGGCCAGGCTCCTGGCACACAGATCATAATTAATATTCCAAAATTATGCTATGGTAAGAGATTCACTGCCTGTATCCCAACTTGTTTATAAATATACAATCACACTTTTATAATGCTTCCACAACTCCCCTTTGAGCTACTGGGGGTAATGTGGATTCTCAATTACAACATTGTAACTAGTAATTATTTCATTTCTTGTGCTTGATTTTTTTTATTTAATAGTTTGGAAAATCACTGCAAAGTCCCTGAAGTACGCTACAGTGTAAATGTATGGTATTTTGATAGGTTATTTATTTAAAATATAATAATTCGTCTTTTTGTAAACTAGACAGTTATGTACAACATCAAAGCTTATGAGAAAGCACTACTTTTATGCTCTGCAGAACATTCACACTCGTCATTTACAAGCTTTCTTATATAGAAACCTCATCATACATGAGATGGACATGCTGGTCTCACTAAGCTCAAGTTCCAAAACAGCAAGGTAGCTAGAGCACACAGTCCAATTATAGGTGCATGCTAGCAGAAAGCTTATGGTTCTTTCCCTCCTAATGAATGTTTTACAGATCAAGGATCAAATTATATGTCTTAACTGTTATTTTAAAGTTTTTGAGGATCAGACATTTTGCTGTACTTTTGCAAGATATGAAAATAATATACACATTGACATTTTTAATTTTAATTCACTAGTGAGAAACCTTTAAAAGTGTAAGTAGTTATTTGTCATATCTGTGCTTTGGGCTAACACTGTTTTTGTTTACATTCAGTTGCTTCTATAAGACACAGTATTTAATTCTGTGCTTTAGTGACCAGGTATTATGGTGTTTCACAACATGAGATTAAATTTTATATATTTTGTTGTGCTTTTGATATATATAAACAACTGAATTTTAAATTATAATTTGCCATTAAGAAACTCCTTAAAATGCAAGACCCCAAGCATTTGTTTATTGACCTTGCTGGTAGTTAAGGCCAACTTTTGTTTGTATGTTTATATTAAGCTGTTTCTGTGCGACAGAGAATTTGAGTATTTAAGTCTGTGCCTTAGTGCAGTGTTTCCCAACTGGTATGCTGTGCAGTTTTGGAAGTACCACACATGTGAAAAATAAATACATAAATCAATAACTGAAAAGTAGAATTCATATAGATTAGTTTTGTGGATGGAACCAAAATGTATTCTGTCGTGTTGCTCTTTTGGTGTACAAGTGTGAGAAGTTACATCATGTTACAATTTAATGACTTTGTACTTTATGTGATATTATGAGTAGTGTGTTGGGCTGAGTTTTTGTAAGATACTGGGAGAGGTTGGTGTGCCATAAATCATTTTTATTAAAATTAGTGTGCCTTTGGCATGAAAAGGTTGGGAAACACTGCCATAGTGAGCCATGCATAGTGATTTTTTACAGCGTAGTTTTTGCCTCCACATAATCTCAGGTTTCTGTGTTTTATTTCATTGCTATGGCTGACTGCTTTTTCTATGATGTAGGTAGAACATATCGAAGTTTGTGGAGAGTCTTTGATAGATGTGCCAGGCATGACTGAACCTGTAAAATTTGGAGTACTTGAGATGTTTGCTTACCCACTGGAAAACTCGGGTAAAGATTATTTTGGTTAAAGAATTAATTGAATCATATTGATCATATTGTATGCATTCAAAAGAATTCCTTTGGGTGTTTTGTTTCTTTGTGAGAATTTTTTTTATTTATTTTTTCATAAAATGTACTTTTTGTATTTGGCTATATGTACGTAAGGAAACTAATTTATTAGCTCCTTAAATTTTAATGTGTGGAATATTTACTTTTAAAAGTGAATTTATTATTAAACTGATATTTGTCAATTTGGCTTTGTGTTAAATAATAAAAGTAGTTACGCACCAAAATCTTCACTAAATTATGTCAGTTTTAATTAAACTACTTGAATGATTTTGTTAGAAGGGGAAATTATAGTATCGACAACAAGGCTTGAGACCATGTTGGGAGACACTGCTTTAGCTGTGCATCCAGATGATGGTCGTTATAAACATTTTTTGGGGAGATATTTCAGCATCCTTTTACTGGCCAGAGGCTACAAGTCATAGCAGAAGAAAGCGTAAAGAGTGAACAAGGAACAGGTAACAGGATTAAAGCATTTTCTGTTAATTTATTTAAAGTTGATTGCTGTAAGAAAGTCTTTTAGAATGTCGGATAGTGTGGTTATTACACTACTAGTTTATAATATGAAATTAATGTGTGTGATATTGGATTTACAGCAAGTAAACCTTTAATTGTTACAGGAGCTCTGAAAGTTACTCCAGCTCATCATATGGCTGATTTTATAATCGGGAAGAGACATAACTTAGAGTTTGTGGATATCCTAGATGATAAAGGGTATATAAAAAAAGAAATTCCAAGATTTGGGGTATGTATTAGATAGAGGCAGTAGCATTTTTTTCCTTCAGTTATGTTTACAAAAGTTAATTTTTTTATTGCCTTTCTATGTAACTAATTCTTATCAGCTGAATAAAGTTGATGTAATCAGGATGGTTCTTTCTCATTAATACATGTTTCAGACTCAATACTTTTGTGGGAAATGGCTTTTATTTTGTTTTTTCAACTTCATCTGAGGAATTTTTTATTTGTCTTGACACAAATCACTGCAAAAATCAGGTGTGAATCTTCTTAAAAAGTTATTGCTTTGTTAGAACTCTTTTGGATGACGTTCATCATTAATCATACACATCCGTATGTACCAGAATTTCATATCTGGAAATTTCAAGACCTTGTCTTGTCTTTGTAAAGAATATTATATTAGACATGACTTTTGCGCAGTCTGAGCACTTTTTCTTTTTAGGGTACATTAATTTGTAAATTGAATAACTTTCTAATCTCAGGATGAGTTTTAATAATACAGACCTTTGTTTGGCAATCCACCTTTTGATTCAACTGCAAGAGTATTCTTCTACAAGTGTGATTAACTTGTGTATGCTAATTTTTTTTTACTGGATATGTTTGTTAACTTAACTGTTTGTATTGTTGTTTCATCAGAAGGAGTGTTGATGTCACATGGTGAACATGTGACTTAATAACTGGAATTTTCTTGAAAGTTTAGGAAATAATTTGAAAGTATAATGAGTTAGACAGGAACAGGTGGTTGAAATTGTTGATTGAGTCAGCCAGTTATATATATGTATATAAATAAATAAATAAAGAACCATTTGTACAAGACAATAAGTAAGTGGACTATTTTTGAGTTATTATGTATTTATGAAGTTAGGCCCATCATTACATGATACTTGTAGTAGGAAAAATAAAACATTTTCATTAAGTGGACTGGACTTTGCATTTTTTAAAATCAAATAACCCAAAAGAATCTACACAATGAGAGAAACAGTTAAAAAAAAAAAAGAATATGTTATGGCTTTTTCACCTTTTGACCATTTTTCTTTCTCACATTTAAATGTTTATCCTTCTTACGTAACCCGGCATGGCCAGGTGGTTAGGGAACTCGACTCACAATCTGCGGGTTGCGAGTTTGAATCCCCGTCCCATCAAACATGCTCTCTCTTTCAGCTGTGGGGGTGTTATAATGTGGTGGTCAATCCCACTATTCTTTGGGAAAAGAGTAGCCCAAGAGTTGGTGGTGGGTGATGATGACTAGCTGCCTTCCCTCTAGTATATATATATATTACTGTTAAATTAGGGATGGTTAATACAGATAGCCCTCGTGTAGCTTTGCATAAAATTCAAAACAAACAAACAAACCTTCTTACATCATATACATTAGAAAATTTTACGAGTTTCATGTCGCTGTATTACCCAGATTAGTTTCTGTTTTAATGAAAAATGTAATTTATTAATAATATCTGTTCATAGCAGTTCCTTTCACTTTTGTGAGATATTTTCAAATTACCAAAGAAACATTAACACTGCTTGAAATTATGTATAATGTGACTGAATGCAATGGGTTAACTTGGCAATATGCATGAGAAATGCAGAATTATAAATAGTGCGATGTGCATAAGAATTATAAATAATGGTGTAATTATTTTTACATATCTAACCTGATACAAATAAAGTGCATTATAGCAATGTATTTCTTCAGGATCTTTTTGTTTTTTATGCATTAGTTTTTCTAAATTTAGCTAGTTTGTTCTGGTTATTGTTAGTGTGAGGTAGATATGTACCAGTTGCATCTCATTTCTAGGCCTTACCTCGTTTCATTGCCCGAAAAATGATAAGAGAGGCTCTGAAGGAGAGAGGACTGTATCGTGGAATGGAGCAACACAAGTATACTATACCAGTTTGCAGTCGGTCACAAGACATCATAGAACCACGATTAAAACCTCAGTGGTTTCTCCAGTGTTCAGAGCTGGCAGAGAAAGCCATACAAGTGAGATTATTTCTATTTGTAATTTTACTGTTTTAAAAAATACAAGTGTAGAAAACTTTAAAACTTCATTTTTTTGAATTTCTTTTAAAAAGAAAAAAGATAGAACAGTGGTGTTGAGAATTATTTATAGTTTCATCATAGTTTCCTATAATTGTGATTAAAAGTACAAAGAAAATGGTACACGTTCAGCACGGAACTATGTTAAATCATTACTGTAATTATAAATACAAAGAAGATGGTACACATTCAGCACGGAACGATTTAAATCATTACTGTGATTAAAAATACATTGATACACGTTCAGCATGGAACTATGTTAAATCATTACTGTAATTATAAATACAAAGAAGATGGTACACATACAGCACAGAACTATGTTAAATCATTTGTTCTGTTTATATTGGTTCTTTGTTTTAGCCTAGTGAAAGACTATATTAAAAAGAACAGTATTTGATGGGTCAGATGTCATGATCCATGATAAAAAAAAAAAAGTTTCATATTGTTATTAGTATGATTCACTTCTCTAAATAGGTTTGAAGTTTTATTCAAGATATTTTTTTTTTCATTATCAAAAGAGCGAACTGTGATTACTGCTGTGTGACACACAAAAAATTTAATAAACATTTTGAATCCTAAAAATTCAGGTACTATGTGTCTAGATATTTTAAACTTTACATTTAATTCATATGTACTTTAGGAAAAAAAAGAAACCTTCTGAAGAAGCCATAAGACAAAATATTGATCAATACAAAAAGTATTTTCTGTTGATAAAGGTTGTATATGTAATTATTGTAGAAATTATACTTGATAAATCTGTAGTTAGTGCTTGGAAGGATTATTATTACAAGTTCTCTGGCATCTGTCTAGACTAACAGTTTTTTCTCTCTTGAGTAATCTTACAATAATAGAAAAGTTTGTTAATATTTTATGTTATCTTTTTTTGAATGGTTGTTTCAGATGATTATTTGTTCCATGCATGTATAATGTTTGGTTTGTGTGATTAACTAATTTATTACCAATGGAAAGATATAAGAAGCTGAATTATCCATCTTGCTTCATTTTGGCCTGTGAGAGACAAGTATTAATAAGTTAATTGTTTATCAGTTACTCAAAACAAAATATTTTATAGCAATGTATGAATTTTATTATAACTTAGCTAGTGGAAAAGGACTAATACAGCTTAGTCTGGAAAATACATCATTTCTAAAAGCTCTTAATGGCTGTAGTAGTTTCAATTATATATTCTTGATTTACAAAATTAACTTACTATATCTTAATACTTTAGCTTGCAAGTAGAAAGTTATCTCTCTTTATTCTTGTGCATAAGATGTTGTTTGTATTTTGATGACGTTTGTCCGTGATGAAGAAAGGCCAACCTTCTGAATGCAATCAGGTTATAGGGTTTTGTATTTTTTGTATTAAATTGGTTTTTGAACCTGCATGTTTTCCTAAGATCTTTAATTGTTTGTATTTTGTTTAGGCTGTAAGGAAAGGAGAATTACAACTCATTCCTGCGAGTCATGTAAATGTGTGGGAAGAGTGGCTAGGAAATGTGCAGTGAGTGTTTTAATAAAAGTTTAAAATTTACAGAAGTTAAGTACAGTATTTTATAGTAGTAGTATTTTAAAAATATATGTTGAAATCACAATAAGTTGTTTTCTGATTAGTAACTTTTTATATTTAGCTTTTTCAAATGTTAACAATTAGATGTTTTCAATATGGTGGTGGTGATTCATGATATTTTCAACTAATTTTTCAAAATGTAAGTATAACATAATTTTTTTGACATTGGTCTCAGTATTGTTATTTAGATTTAGCTGTGTAATATTTATGCATTGCAAAAAAAATTCCAGGAATAATGTATTTTTAGAGTAATAGTTCTTTTCTTAACATTTAATGTATACTTAATACCACATTTATGTTAGTTTTTACTCTGGAGTGCAATTTACGACTTTTTTTTTTTCACCAACTTAAAAATTAACTTCCAGGTAAAATATTATGCCATAGTCCTGAAATGTATACACATATACATGAACTTATTTGTTACAGTTGTTTGTAGCTCTCATTTTCATGCTTAGTAGTTCATATGATCATCTAAGTCTAATTATTAAATAATTTTTCTTTATATCTAGATATTAATTACTAACTAGTTTTATCCAGCTTTTCAGCTGCTAACCTGCTGATGTCTTATCTGCTGTGGCAATGACTGGGATTTGATCCTGGATCTTCTTGATGGAAATCTGGTGAGTTCTACACTCAACTAGTGTTTCCCCCACTTACAAATCGAAACAAATAACCACCTGAATGTTTTCAGGTGGAGTATCCATGTTTTGCTGATTTCTATGTTAGGTTGACTGTGTTAACTAGGTGGAGAATGATGCTTTTTTCCTTCTTTTTCTCATCTGTTGTTCATATCCTGTTATTTTAGTATTACTCCAAATATCATTTGGTCTTCTTTTCTAGCATGATTACTGATTATTTGAATAATGTTTTGACTTTATGCTGTTTACATATTCTCAGAAATGGAGGGCAATATGTCTGCGAGTCTGTAATTTTCTCCCTGTTTGTTCTTGGTGTGTATTTTACTTTTTATCTAGTGATCAGGATATCGTTTGTCAAGAAGAGTTGTAGAGAAAATGAAACACTGTTTGTTAGAAGTATGTCGTATTGTGGTGTACAAGCCTGTTGCTGAAGTAGTTTATATGTATACTGGATGTAGATCAGGCTGGAGTAGAAACTAAAATTTCTCAGACATAAAATATATATATGTGCTGTCTGGAATTCCAGTGAAATAAAATACATGTGATTGTGCATGTTTTTCTTTGTATAATTTGGTAAAAGATTTCAGTGTACAGTGATTAAAGTTAAGTCATTTGAAACTGACTAATATTTGTTATTTGTGAAGCTTTTTCTAATTTGTGGAATTCTAATAATACAACATAACAATTTCTTTTTGGTTTTGCATTAACCTTCATGATATATCTTGTATTAACTATAACTTACCCCAATAAGATTAACTTCTAAATATAACATATAATAAATGATTGAGTGAACTTTACCTTTTAAATGAGCTTTAAAGCTCGCTTCCTTATTTATTTGTAAATCTAATGTGCAATATTTCCTACTTGAGTCTGAGAGGTTGGATAGTATTCCTGAATATATTATCTGAATGTAGACTAATATGTTGGGATTCTGACTTAGAGGCTTCCAATCATAATCCCACAGATGGTAGATTTGACCACTGTTCACTTGACCAAGCACATTTACCAAGTGTCCAAACATGAAAACATTCAGATAGTTAGCTGGTTTAAGTTCTAAATGAGGGAGACCCCAGTTATGTGGATAATTTACCAGACTTTCATCAAGAAGACCCAGGATTAAGTTCTGGTCACTACCAGTACAAAAAATAGTCCTCAGGACTTCATGAAGATTGCAGCAGGTTAACAGCAAAAATGTAGAATGAAACTAGTTTTAGCAATTAGTATTTAGTTATAAAAGAAAAAAAGTTACTACTTAATAACAAGACCTATATGATCATATAGACTACTAACTGAGATATAATCAACACAAATATGCTTGTACCTCTGTTTGTTTTTCTATCTTGAAATATGATGAATTGTTTAAAAATCTCACTGTATTTTGTTGCATAAAAGATTACTAATAATAAACTATATTTGATAACTGTTGAACTTTCTTACAGTGCTGGAACTTATAAAATTTTAATAGAAAAATGTCTGCCGTAATGAAGTAAAAATGTTAATGAGTAGATCTTTGAAAACAGAAGTGAAAGGAAAGTTTTTTTGCTTCCTTGTCACCATATAGAAGTTCAATAATCATTCTTGTAGAATAATATTTACTGACTTTGAGTTCTTTTTGTGTCATCACAAACTCTTTCAAGTGCAATATTTACATTGGCATGATTTTCATCGTGCACCATTCGTGAAGTTATTCTTTGGGTGTAGATAAAGACTTGTGCCACATAATTTTAGTATTTTTTTCACGAATCTGTAACATATGTAAAGCTGTTATATCATGTATAAATAATAAATGAATCTAGCATACTGGTGCATGTACAGTATAAATCTACTAGAAAGGCAGGGCATGAACTTATAGCAACTCTTTGTTTGATTTATTTTTAGAGATTGGTGCATATCTAGACAGCTTTGGTGGGGACACCAGATTCCAGCTTATCGAATAACTAATATTAATGAACTTGTTAAGGTATGAGTAAATTATTTTGAGTTTGTTATTCTTTCTGATTTGCTAAACAATGGAAAGCAACACATTAAGAATTTTTTAGTGTATATGGGAGGATAAAATGTATTACTTTTGAAAGTGTGAGTGACTTAATGCTTTATATTTCATCATTTGTAAGAAATTTTAAACATATATTTTAAGTGATAGAGAGTAGGACTATCAGTCAGTTTTGTTTTTGTATGAAACAGTATAGAAGGGTATGAAAAAATCTTTAAAATTAATTAATTTAAAGCTTTATATATTTATCTTACTTTTCATCAGAATTTCTTCTTCATTAAAAGTATTTTTGGAATTTTTTTTTTAGTTTTTAATACATTGTAGCTTCATAATTTTTTATGTGTCAATACTTTGTTCTTTCCATGTCAAAAGAATATGTTACTTTGATAAATCTTGTTAACATCATCAATAATAATTCTTTTTGAAACTTAGTTGAATGGACGGTAGCTGCCTGTTGTGGAAACACAGGTCGTTAGGGCACTTGGCTCACACTCTGAGGGTCACTAAACAGAGATTCCACATTATAGGTGATTAACCTGTGGCTACCATTGGTTGAATCTACAGGAAATATCTTCACCAATCAGAAACAGGAATAAACCAACCAATCATAACAAGCTCTCCACAATCCACCAGAATACTATAAAGACTGACTATACCATACACACACTGATCTGAAGATGAAAGGTGGAAAACTTTTGAAACGTCCTCCTCTACACTTGTGTTTCTACAACAGGCAGTTGCCATCCATTCAACTAAGTTTCATCATGTATACTCTGCCTAAACAAGCTACCAAAGAATAATTAATTTTATTTTGTTCTTTTCACCTATTATATTAAATATTACTAGGGAGAAAATGGAAGGAATTGCTGATGTGAATTAATATGAAATCTAAAAGTGCTAGTAACATATCAGTTTAGAAGAGAAGTATACATAATCCTATAACCAGAGTGCTTTTGACAAGTAGACTTATACATCATTAGGGGATAAACTGTTTGTCTCTGATGAAGAAAATTCTACATTTTGAATTAATCGGGTTATAGTTATTTTTTAAAATATTATCTCAAGTGTGTGTTTCTTTTTTCTAAACAACAAATAAATTATTACACAACTCAACATCTTTCTTTCAAGTCTTTCTGATATGCTAACATTCATGATAGAAAACACAAAGGTTTAAAGAAAAAAATTAATAAGAGACAAGAATATTAAATACTATAACCCAATTAATTCAAAGTGTAGAATTTTCTTCATCAGAGACAAACAGTTTATCCCCTAATGAT